TGGATGGATGGATGGATGGATGGGGTTGAGGGAAGGGAGGGGAGTGATGGAGGGAGGTAGCGGTGTACGCATCTTTGTAAGTAAATGTGTATGTATGTCTGCATGCCTGCCCGTATGTATTCGGAATGTATGTCTGTATGTACGTATGTATGTATGCATGCATGTATGTACGTATGTATGTTCGGAGTATCTATCTGTCCATCAAAAAACAGACACACGGATAAACAAGCAAGCCCAGAAGTGAACCTACAAATACATAAGTATCTGCTTGCCGTCCTGCCTGCCTATCCGGCCTGCCTACTACCTAACTGCCTACCCACCTAGATGCATGCATACACGCACATACACACCTGCATGTGAACATGTGTGATCGTCCTTTAGCACACTGTTCTGTATGCACAAGAGAGCGTGGGTGTGTATATGTCACGTATCACGGTGGGAGTTCAGCAAATGACTTGCCGAAGTACAAACCCGAAGTAGCAGCGCAGGGTCCTTATTGTGATGAGCCTCAAATGCTATCTTCATGAGGCCCCGGTATACGTACCGTCTACCTACCCATGAACTTCCAAATTACAACATCGCGTTCCCTGCGTTCCCTCCAACTTCAAATGCTTACCTTTGCGCTAAAGTTCGGCCAAGACGCATGTACTGCTCCTGTTCTTCATCCCGCTTCCTGTCATCCAGGCGGTAATGCCGATTTCATTGGAGGTGGACAGGCTGTTCGGCTCAACTCCACAAAGGTCCGAGTACCCCAACAACAGGCATGCCAATACTTTACATGTCTTGAAGATTATGACTGCGTTTTAACATTCAGCTCGGAATAATCTCCGCCTCCGGGTATGGAAATTGAACCTGTTGCGTTAGCACTAAGCATCAAAGAGTGACCGGTGGCGGCTTGGATTTGTCCCGGTGGAAGAATGGTGAGACTAACAGAGACAACTGATGTCTGGCACACCAGCAACGCTCTGCACTTGCTTCATGCCTTGCCAACCGAAAATCCTCAACACACTGTAGGGGCCTTACTAATTAGAATAGGGTTTTGGACTATAAGTACAATAAGGAACCCCAGAATAGCATAGGTAATTGTTCAGGCGCCTATATTACCTGAATTTCTCGACCCTGTCTTAATATCTGAACCCTCACGCCGTACTGTAGCCCCCCCCAAACCCCACTTGCAGCTTCGGGGCACTTAGCAAGTAGGCAATAAGTAGAGTTATAAGTACCCTGGAAGGGATCCTAATTTGGCTATGATACTGATAAGCCTATGAAATAGCTACTTACTACGCCCCCCGACCCCCATATCAAATCATGCATCCGCGACGATGGCGAACCCCGGCCCCAAACTTTACAAGCAGTGGCCAACAAAGGATAGCCGGGCGCGGGATTTAAGACGCACCTTGGTTTTAATTTAATCAAAATGCAGAGGTTTTGGGTGTTGAAAGCCGATTTTTTACAGGAATCGCGTGTTTACCATAAGATCAGGCGGTTAGGCTGAAATATGTAGGCCCTGCGCCCGGCATAGGTGTGTTTGGTAAGTCTTAAGTGCCGTGTCGTGTGCAGCTGCTGTCGGTGCAAAATGTGCTAAGAACCCATGCGCGTCTTAAATATTCGGTCCTATTTAAGAGCCCAGCCATAGGCAATTTGGTAGGTTTCTAATAAAAGAGCAGTAGGAAGGCTTTGTCGGAGCAGAACCTGTGTGCAGTCTGTAAGGCCCCCAAGCAAGGTGTGAAATAGGAGGAAATCCGGACTTTGTAGACCCTTACAGGGAGACAGCGTGCGTCTTGAATCCCGCGCCCGCCAAAGGATTCAAAGAACAAGGGTTTTGGGTCATTATACTATAATTCTGATAAGGAGCCCCCAAAATTAGACTATAATTATGATAAGGAGCCCCAAAATAGCATAGGTAACTACAAAAAAAAGGTTATTGACGTTGCGGCCGCGAGCCTCCTCAACTCTTTCTCTGCATCCGTCGGCTCCTGGCATTCATCCAAAGCTGGTTCCCTGTTGGGGCTAATGTGGTTTAGGGTTTAGGGATTAGGGGGTACTCTTTTGGGGGTGCCTTATTGTAATTATACTATAATGGGCCCCAAAACCCTATTTAAGGCCCCTATAATAATCCTTATTGGCTCTTATTGTAACAAAAATGCAAAGTTGTATTAAACAAGGACCCAGCAAAGCTGGGCGTTTGGTGCATATGTCTGCAAGAGTGGACAAGGTCAACAGGTATGCCTGCCCGCCACAACAGGAATCAATGAAGCCTATATGTATCCATTAGTCAGGTTGCAGGATCAAGAAGCCTGTAAGTCCTGATGATGCGACGTCTGATCCTTGTCTTCTCGACTGTATCGACTGGCGGTCTGAAGCTGATGATACAGCATGGGGAAGTTGCTCCACATCGTTGAAAGCTTCGCCGGTCAGGGGCAGGGGCACTCTTCCGTCGAAAGAACAAAGATTTCAGAGCTCTTGCATGAAGGAACTTGGGCCTGGAAGGGACGAAAAACCCTAAACCCCTAAACCCTAAACCCTATAAGCCCTGAACCCTAAACCCTCTCAACCCTAAACCCCTAAACCCGATAAGCCCTAAACCCCAAAACCCTGTAAACCCTAAACCCCGAAACCCTAAACTCTCCGAGATAGAAGGTGGAGGATTGGAGACTCTCTCGGGTTGCCTTTGCGTCAGAAGCGAGAAAAAGTTCCTGCAGATTCGGGTTCAACAAGGGGCTCCTTTAAAGGGTTCTATATGGGATACGATGGGGTTTCTATAGAAAAGGGGCATTAATAATTAAAATAGGGTTGTGGGGCCCATTATACCATCAGTATGGAGCCCCCAAAATAGCATAGGTAACGGTAACTATGAAGGCCCCTACATTAAATCATACTCGAAATAAGAAGCCTGTTGTGAAGCCGGAAACCTGTAATCCCGAACGCGAAAACCCACTGAATCCCGAACCTGAGTTCAACATCCAAGGCCCTGGAACCTTACACGCCTGATGTAGGGGCCTTAATAATTAGAATAGGGTTGTGGGGGGCTCCTTATTATAATGATTGTATAGTATACCCCCTAGCCCTTTTTCTAATTCCTAAGGCCCCTTTTCTTGACTATCTGAACTCGAGTTCTTGTTAGCCTTAACAGCTTGCCTCGGGGCGTGGCTGCCGTGCGAGGATGGGGAAGCGCTCCTGCGTCAACGGGCACTACTTGAGGGTTTCCGAAAATAGGGGAAACTAATATAGTACCCTAAGTAATAGGATCCTTATTATAAGGACCCGGAAAAAAGGTACCCCAGACTGTTGGAAACTCCCAGTTGCGTGTCTGCCACTGCGTGGTACGTATCTATAAAAAGAGATGACAGACAGACGGACAGACAGATGGGCTTGTAGATGCATGCACATGCATTAACTTTGCCGCGGGTGGCTTTCTCTTGAAGTGGCATGTCTTATTCGCAGTACAAAGACAGTACTGCGCATGCAACAGCGAACAACATGAGTAGTTCTCTGATTTAGGGCGTCCTCTTGGGGCACTGCCGCCTTCTTTTGTCTACAAAACGAATCTGATTTAGAGAACTACCCGCATAGCATCATGCTCTGTATCGACGCTGACAGCAATCCTTACATTGCGGGGTACTACGGAACGCGAGATTATGACTTGATGTGCACAGGGGAATGCGATGCCGCGAAACCCGGCATTCAAAGGGCTGGCCCGGCATGATCGAAGTTGATTTGGCTACCGTGGCGTGTGCTAGGTAAGATATGACGACAGGGTCGCGGCATTAGGGGTGTCACATCGTAAACTCGAGACTCGGATCCGGCTGAAGCCGTCATCCCCGAAACGGTCGTCCTTCATCTTGGCAACCATCTTTATCCTGCCGAATTCTGTGATGCGGTTGGTAAGGGATCGCAAAGTGCAGGGTTAAGGCTAAAACTTGCATGGTCCATCAGGCAATTCTGTGCTTCCGTGGGGCAAAGTGTCGGAGGAACAAGACCGCGCACATGCTTTAAACACGGTCTGGGGCCTGAAACCCAGGACTACACGACTGTCTTCCAAGTCGCTGATGCCCCTGCAGAAATGCCGAAGTCCTCGCGTACAGCACGTGGTAAACGGCCATGCGGGGATCGTCAAACCTGTCCATGTCCACGTTCCCAAACTCGAGATTTGACAGTGCGGGCTTCGAGCAGCAACAGACTGAAGTTCAGCCTGTTGGACCGGAAGCCTCGTATAAATAGGCTAGCCCAGCAAACCAGCAGAAGCCACAAGCCTAAATCGGCAAAAGAGAAATCCCTAAACTCTTCGCCAACACCTACATGCCATGTCTCCTGATAGTAACGGTCCACTTGCAGCCAGGACACCGTATGATGATGGTGGGGAGCAAATTTGAAAAGCAATGTTCCCAATTTCTCAGCACCGAGGGCATAGTTACGACCTCCCCAGTAAGAGTAATCGCAGAAACCCTGCCACCAAAAACGCTGATGGCAAGATACAGCCCCACAAAACATACCGTAATGTGGATACTTTGAATACCTATCTTTTGAACAGTCATGGTTGCAACCCACAAAGAGCTCGTTGCCGGAAAGCCTGCTTTCCTCTGTATGGCGATTGTAGAAGAACTTTTCTCCGTCCTGGAGTTCAGGGGACGCGGCCGTCGCCGGGACGACCCAGTCTGGGTGGATGCCCAGTTCAAGACAAATCATTGAGCACTCTTCTTCATGGAAACGGCGAGAGCCCCTGCATGCTAAGCAAGTCCTGAGACCCAAACCTCTACCGAAGAACATATCATCTAGAACCGCCCATGCTCCTCGGCGAAAAGCTCCATCCAGTCTGCTAGATCCTTGCGGATGTTCTCCTGCACACCGCTGGTGCGTAGGAAGCCAATGCAGAAACAAAAAGTGCGCACCGGGTGCTCTATGGAATGGTCCTCTGATGCAGAGAACTCTCCAGAATGTTTGCATCACTGATGTTGGGGGTCGTTCAAGGGGCAGACGTGCAACGGCCGAAACTTGGTGTTCTTCGTGGATTTGTGTTGTGATGTCTTTGGGCTCAGGGCTCAGGGAGGGAATAGCCAGTACGTTCATGTCGTCCTTCGAGATTAAAGATGTGCAGTTCCATACGAACGGTGGCATCGTTGTGACAGTCGGCTTCCAGGTTGTATGCCTTATGGTTGGGGATTTCAGGGCTGCCAAAACGGCGTTTCAATGAGTCAACTTAATGTAGGGGCCTCGACAAGTAGAAAGGGTTTTTGGGGTATATTATATGAAAATTGTAATAAAGAGCCCCCAAAATAGTATAGGTAATTATGAAGGCCTCTATAGTAAACTCCGCTGCTTGATGGCCCTCCACTTCCCCCCAAATCCTCGATCTAGATCCACAGTAGGGGCCATTGATTGTAGCAGCATCCCGTGCTGTAGTCCTTACATAGCTACCGTAGTAACTCGTAGTTACCCTAAACCCTAAACCCCTAAACCCTAAACTCCTAAACCCTTACTAGTCCCTAAACCCCTAAACCCTAAACCCTTACTCAACCCTAAACCCCGAAACCTCCTAAACCCCTAAACCCCTAAACCCCCTAAACCCCTAAACCCCTAAACCCTACACAAAGAAACCAAAAAAAACCAACAGCCGGCCTCTTGCTCGGCAATCTCGTCCTCGACTTGCCAGAAGCCTCCGACTTCCACCACCTTCTGAGTCTGACGTAGGAGGGTTTAGGGATGAGGGTCGAGGGTTTAGGGTTTGGGGTTGAGGGTTTAAGGTTTAGGGTTTAGGATGTCTGTAACAATGTAGATCCTCGTAACCACCGGATGAACCCGAACTCATGATGCCAGGACATGGTACTCTCAATCAAGACAATAACATGACCCAAATCTGTATACAACTCAGGCTCTTGCGGACGTCTGAGGCCAAAGCTCGTCTCTGGTAGTCTACGATTTCTCTGAAGAGGTCATCCATAGGATGCCTTCAAGCAATACCACAGAAGTGTCATCGACACAGTCGGAAATTGGAGTTGGTGTGGGGTCGGCATTTGGGAAGTTCGAGCATTGACACTTGTGTGGGGGTGCATTTTCCCTTCGGCATGCGGCTTCGAGCTATTGTCTCATGCTGATTGCTTCACCCTGAGATGACGGACATGTCAACCAAAATGCTGGAAAGGCAACTAAGACCATTCTTGCAAAGTGGCTTCCAGGTAGACTCTCCGCTTGAACCGTTGTGGAAGTAGACTCGCCCTTGTTCGTCCTGTCGCAGCAGCCCTCACGGGGATAAGTGCTGAGGGTATGATACATACAGATCCGGTCAACAAGCACTGCAACACGAAAGGGCCGCCGTTTGGAATGCCCGGACAACTCTCTGACAGGTGCTCGACTAATCTTTTGCCAAGACCAGAATCACTGACACAGAAGTGAGCTAGTCTGGGCCAACAACCGTGCCAACTAAAAACCTTCTTGCGTCCTGATGTTCGGACCATCCGGGTGGAAGCGGCGCGTTGAAAGCCTGGTTGTCACGAAGGACTTTAGGCCTTGTGCTGCCAGCAGCAGCATCACCAGTCTTCGGCGCAGAAGTAGTACAGGGGATAGAAGCAGAAGTAGCTGCGGTCGGTTACTTCGAAGTACCAATTAATCCACAAATAACGACACATTGAACCCGTTTCGATGTCAGACAGAAGTAGAGGACATTGACACTGCAGCAATGCAGAGTCTTACTGTTAGTGTTGGTGTTACTCGTGGTAGTCATACCAGCAGCAGCAGCAATAAGGTAGTGGAGGTAGTAGCAGTTGTTGTTGTTGTAGCTTTGGCAGCAGTAGCAGTAGTAGTAGTAGCAGCAGTAGTCGTCGTCGTCGTCCTCGTAGTAGTCTCAGTAGTAGTAGTAGTAGTAGTAGTAGTAGTAGTAGTAGTAGCAGCACCAGAAGCCGCAGCAGTACATGTGGCACAGCAACCGCATGCAGCGGCACTCGGAGCAGTAGGAGTAGTGGCTGGTAGCGGGAG